AGGTTTTTGTATTGTGCAAACTCTTCAAAGGAAACAGGTGGAAGTAAAACGATTTCAGGTGAAAATTTACCTGCACACAGTCACTACATAGATTTAAGTACATCTCAAGCAGGTTGGCATAAGCATAGATATTGGGATTGGTCAGGAATGACAAAAGGTAAAGGATATGATGTTAAAGACGACGTTAAGTTTGCTATAAATTGTTACTGGAGTGACACTCAGGGAGAAGGAAACCATACACATTTCGTTTCAGGGTATACGCAAACAACGGGACAGAGTAAAGACTACATGCACTTACATGACAGTTTACGCATGGTATAGAATTGCTTAGTCGTCATTTTCAACTTCTTTAGCATATTCGTCAGGAGTTGTCTTATATTTGTTAGGAACTGTCTTTGAAAGTATACCACTTGAACCTTAACAAGTTTGAAACGAGGTCTGACAATAGTAGTTTTATCTTCTGCTTGCAGTCTGTACATTTTGCCATGTTTGCCTAAAACTTCATAATATTCTCTTGTATACTTTCTTCTATTTTTACGAACACGAATGTGAGTACCTGTCGAGTTCCCATTGTTGTCATAGTCAATAGTATTTTCATATGGGTCGCGTTTAGGTATTTCTATTTTTACTTTGTCACCTTTCTTAAGTTTGAAGCCTGGCATTCTTTCTTGTTTGTCTCTTTTGACTAAACTATTAAATATATAGTCTTTCTCTAAGTCAGGGTTGTTTTTCATTTCTTCGGGGGAGTGGTTTCCCAAACCTTTTTGTTTACGGTTATTGTAAATATTTTAAAACTTGTCTCATCTTTGCCATGGAGAAGTGTCTATATTTGTCGTCATATGAATTTCATCTACCTCACCACCTTGTGGTTGGTTTAAGTCTCTTAAGATTTTTATACAACTGTCAATGACACCAAGAGCAGAATGGTTTTGGTCGACAATGAAATATTGGTTTACATTTTTTGAACGCAGATAGTTTTTAATATCGTCTGATTTGAAAGAACTTTCACAGTCAGATGTCAGTTTTGTTGGATGGTATTTGTCAACGATATTGTCAAAGCAGTTTTTACATCTAAAATATTTTGGACTGTAATGGTATGGCTTCACAGTATCTTGTGTTTTGACAACAAATATTAGCCAGTATGGTGGTCCATCTTCTCTATACCTCGGAATGTTTTCCAAGATATCCATAAACCAAGCATTTGGTGTTGAACTAAAGATTTTTATCATGAGTGCTTTCTTTGTCGCTTTAGAAACATAGGGGTCCTTGTTTGGATTCGTCATTTTTTACCCTATAAGAAATGGGTTTATTTGGCGCATTAGCAGGAGTTGCATCCAGATTTTTACCCGCAGTGGGAACAATAGCCAGAGGTGTATTTGGAGTTGGAAGGAAGATTTTGAGTACATTAGGTATACTTAAAGAGAAAGCACAACCTATTATACAAACTGTACAGAAAGGTTGGGATGTAGCACGAGATGCAGCAAATCTTATTCCAAATCCTGAAACAAGAGGAAAAGTTCAAGGATGGATGGACAATGTAGGAAGAGAAGCAGGAAACTATTATAACAAAGCAAATGACTACTATAACCAAGCAGGACACTATATGGACCAAGGTGAAAGATTCTTTAACAGAGGATATAACCATGCACAACAATGGGTAAACAATAACCAACCGCAACCACCTCAAACGTGGGGAATGTAAAGTTTTTTACTGAGATGAAATGAACAATACAGCATTGAGACAAATGGGTTTCAAGATGGATTTGTCGACTTCCAGCAGTTACACACGTGTTTGTCAATTCTTCCTATACCTCAGGAAGTTTTAGACCGACTTAAAAAACAACAACAACCAGTTGAAAACAAACCAAACTAAAATTTTTTACTGAGATGAAATGACCGAAGAAGTTGAAACGGTAGATTTGACACCACAAACAAAAAGTTCAGAACCATTGTCAAAACCTGTCAAAGAACTTACAGATGAAGAGAAAAATTCAATAATAGAAAGTGCCAGGTCTGGAAATACAAACCTAACTATAAAGTCACTTTTCATAGAAATGGAACGGCTAGTATCTCAAAAAAGAAACAGACTCTCACAAATAAAATATTGAAGTCTGAAGGAACTAAAGAGACAGCAGATGGAAAGTTTACTTCACTGACCAACAGTTCATTATAGAACATCTCATTGACTTAGAGTCGAAATATTCTAAACTTTACAACAAACACAAAAAGTTGAAAGGAAAACAAAAACAAATGGCATATGATATTTATGAAGATGTTGACGACACAACCATACCTGCAAGTGAGGTAAAGTCAGAGGAACCGAAAAGTGACGAAAAACCGATAGAAGAAGAAAAACCAAAAACTGAAGATAAACCAAAACCAAAGTTTAGTTTCCAAACTAAACCAACTCAACCTTCATTAGCTGGTATGGGTTGGCGTCAAAGACTTATGGTAGCTGGTGGTTATGTAAAGTAAAGAAAAAAAATATTTTTTTATTTTTATAAAAATGCCCCCATATAGAATGGACAGAAGGTCTGCTAGAATAAAAGCAGAGTTAGAAAGATATGGTTGGAAAGTTTCGAAGAAGTTTAAATATAGGAAGGGAAAGCCAATAAAAGTCTATGACAAACTGTCTGGTCTTCGCTACGAGATGGACTTAGAAACCGCGCGCGCCAATTATCCAAACAGACTCGAGAGGTTAGAAGAAGAACGTCTTATGGACATGCCTTTCGATGTTTCTGAGCCTCAAGTTGAAGGACACGACGGCTTTGCCAGATTCTACTGGAAACATGACGAACAATTGCATCCTTTGAGAAGGAAAAAAGGGAAGGGTGAAGACAAACATGCTCCCATGGAAAGAACAAGATATGCATATGAGAAGTATCGTGAAGTTAGAAGTCAAATTACATCTGGTCGAACCTTTACAGTAAACTTTGACGAAGGAAAGAACAAAGAAGGCTTCATGGGTGTACTTGCTGCAATTCAAGACGGAAATAAGAAAGGATACAATCTCAGACTAACCGTAACAGATTTAGATGGTCATATTTACTATGCACATGGCAATGTCACAACAGCCGCACAACTTCTTGACGCTTTCAAGACTACAAAGAGAGAACAAATGGTTGACTCCGACTCAGACATTTTGAATGCAATTGAAGGAATTGCAAGTGTCAAGTTCGAATGGTACCAACCTAACCCTCAAGCAGTCAGACAACATGCTGGATACTTCCCCTTCAGAAATAAGTCTGACATTGACTTGACAAGGTATGGAATTTACAATTCAATCGAAACAATTGTCAATGAACCTTGTAATTCTTACATGTCTCAGGAACTCTGGTCTTGTTTCAGAAGAGAAGATGAAGTATCTTGAGTCATGTGTGAAGACAAGGTACATTCTTAGAGGTCAATTGGCAAAAGTTGCACCGTTGGCAAATGTGAATATCCGAGTCAATACCGACTGAGAAAGGTTCTTCACATGACGACTATGTTGTTGACAAAGACTTACCATGGTTGAAGATTGTAATTGTCCACAACCACTTCATGTTGAACGAAAGTCTTACAACCATTGTTCGGAAAAGGCAAGTGCAACATTGTCAGAGCTGTAAACATTCTTTTCGAGAAAGGTTTGTTGGAACCGATTCCAGATGACAAGCTGACAGAAACTTTTGTACCAAAAGACGAAACAAACTTTTCACTGTTAGCAAGACCAAAAGTTGTTCCAGACAAAGTTATAGTACAAAGAAGTACAACAGTTCCACAAGGAGTTGGATTGTTCGGATACCAACCTGAACCAGAAGAACTTCCAATGAGGTTGCAAGAACTTCAAGATGCTATAAACAACTTCCATTGAGACATCCAATTGACGTCAAATTGTATTGGAGAGCATCTGAGTTAGGTCAGAAGGTTTTATATGAAACAGGTTGCTTCGACGATGTTTATGAGATAACAGGAGAAGTTTCTCAGAAGATAAGAGACTCACTTGAATTTCCACAAACTGGACCAATTGGTTGCGACAAGTTCGACTCAAACGAAAAGATATACTATGTCGACCTTAACGCTGCATACATGAGGTTTGTCCAATATATTCCGACTGGAATTCAAACGAAGATGGTGAGTTCCTGGGAAGGAACTATACAGTTGGAAAAGTCATACAACAACTGTATGATATTAGGAAAGCTTCAAACCCCAAACTTGCAATGACACTCAAATTGCTTATGAATTCGACATGGGGAATATTCCATTAAGAAACCTCAGAGATGAAGAATAAACATTATGAGAAGGTCGACAACTTTGTTGAAAGGTTTTCTCCTTTTGTTTTGAAGTACGAATTCACTCAAGGTCAAAGTGGCTTAGTAACCACATTAAAACCTATTGTCGAACATTGGTCCTACCCTCAGTTCGCAAAGGCAGTCCTTGACAACTACAACAAATTCTTCTCCGAAGTCAAATCCAAAGTTGTGGTTTACTATGAGAACATTGACGCACTCATGACGAACGAAGAAGGGTACAACAAACTCATTGAAATGGGCATGGTCGGTGAGAAAATGGGCTGTTTTAAGCTAGATAAGGTATTTTCTGAAGTTCATGTAATATCGAAAAGGAAGTACTGGGGTGTTAAAGAAGATGGTGAAATAGTTAAACATTGCATGAAGTAAAAATTTTATTTGAAATGTACGCTGAGTTTGTTAGTGAACCTCAAGTTGAAGGAAACTTGTTTGTTAGATGAAGAGTATGAAATGGCATACCATTTTAAAACATTTTTTAAAACAGTATATTTTTACATATATTAAATGTTTCAGGTTGAAAAACAAAGAACAAAAGTAGCAGATACAAAACCGTTAGACTATATCTTTACAAACGCCGGTAGGACTATATCAGATGAAGAAATTTCATCCCGTACTTACAGGTTTGACTTTCCAATTCGTTGGCTTCAAAGTCCTTCAGATGCAAAGGCAATAGGATTTAGAAGAGTTTTGTTTTCAAAAAGAACTAACGCTTTTATGTTCGCAGTATATTTTCATGGGCAGTATAAAGCTTCTGATGGTCTAATAGACAAATTTGACGAAATGAGAATCTTTACAATTCGTTCAGACGAAAACCTTGAGAAGACTCTAAATGACTTTCAAACTCAAATGAACAAATATTATTGGGAATTTCAAGAAAAATACGACTCTTTACTAAATGGAACATACTATCTGAAACTAGAATATGACAAGATGAACTCCACAGTTTCATTTCAAAGGATTGAAAATAACCCTCCAAGAGATACACAGTTTTTATTTTGGGAAGTAGACAAACGTTCTTGGGCACAATTTCTTCGGTTACTAAACCAGAACGAACCATTACCACCTGACGGTCCGTTTAAATTTATACGCCCACCAACAGATTTGACAGTTTATAGAAACGTGTTTGACCCTCAAAATGTTATGTGTCATGCAAGTTTCAGTTCAAGCAACAACAGTTTTCTTTGTATCGGTAAGGACTTTTATGACTTTGCTTCTAAATTCTACGAACCACCTAGTAACAGTTTCTCTGACTTTCAAGTTTGGTTCACAACAAATGGTGTGCAGCATATAATACCATTGTACTATGACTTTTATCTCGAATTGTCTTTCATATATAACTACGGAAAAGTGCTGAAAAAGTATTGAAAAATAATGTTTATGTTAGCATGTTAGATCTAACACGTTTTCTAACCACTTTTCTAACATGGTCTAAAACTCTTGAATTTTCATGAATTTTACACCAAAAATAATGTTTATGTTAGAATGTTAGATCTAACACCTTTTCTAACACGTTTTCTAACATGGTCTAAAACTCTTGAAAATCATGAAATTTCCGAAATAAAAAAATAAAGTTAGTTTTATTTTATTTATTTTTATTGTAAGAACAGAAATGTCAGTCGAAGCAAAAACGTTCACGAACAAATCTAATGGCGAAACATTCACAAAAGGCACTTACAACGGTATTGAAGTCTTACGTAGAGACAAGGATGGTTATATAAATGCAACAAAGATGTGTCAGCAGTTTAGGAAAGACTTTAGAAGGTTGTTGGAAAATAAGTCCTGGGAAGAGTATTTTAAGGCATTTTGTGAAGAATATACCAACCCGCGGAAAACGGCGGGTTGCTTTTTATACAAAATTCATGCAGGAATTCCGGATGAAATCAAACAGGTTAGAGGAATGTATGTAGACCCAAGACTCGTAAACTATATTGCAATGTGGGCTTCTCCAAAATATTGTATAGCAGTTGGAAAAATTATGGACTCCATAGACAAGAAAGTTCATGAGAAGTTAGATGAAGAAGAACTTGAAGATACAGTAGAGAATGCAAAACCTTTGTTTGAAGAAGAAGTTAGAAAAATGCATGAAAAACAAATAGAACATGAACGTGAGATATGTTCTGGTTATAGAGATTCTCCATACGAACTAGACCAATGGGAACAAGAAGATTTAAAGAGAGAATTTAGAGAATATGAACTCGCTAAGATAACATTAGAAGCTGCAGAAAAGAAGTTAAAAGTTTGGGGTCGTTTTGTACAAAAATATTGTGAGTAACTGAACCATTTTTTTTTCGACAAAAATATATTTTAGGGTAGATGGTTAGATCTAACATGTTTTCTAACACGTTTTCTAACATGGTCTAAAACTCTTGAATTTTGTTGCTGAATTCAATAAAAATATATTTTATGTTAGAATGTTAGATCTAACATGTTTTCTAACACGTTTTCTAACATCGTAGAAAACTCTCGAAATTCATGAGTTTTGACACTTTCATAAAAAACATAAAAAATAAAGTTAGTTTTTTTAAAAAAATATTTTTTATTTTTATTGTAAGAACATGTTAGCAACAACAGCACCAAACTCGTTAGTCATGAACCCAACTTCAATGTTAGTAGAGATGAAAAGCTTCATTCCTTCTTCATATACTTTCGAAACAACAATCCAGAAGATAAAGCAAGAACTTCTCCAAGGAGATTTAGACTGTAGTGCGAAAGATGAAACAAATGAACAGTATCTTTATGAAATGCAGGATATTATTGACCATCTACCTAAACTTCCTGAAATACAACAACAAAAGCTTACTATTCCTGAATTCGATGAAATAGAAGTCAAAGCAACTGACTCGGTAGAAATAAAGAAGTTCATACGAAAGGTAAACTATGAGTTTCTTGGATTTCATTGCAACCACAAAGTCATGGACAAAGACTGCGATATGGTATATAAAAATGTTTCTGACATATATAAATCTGAAGAATTTAAGACCTACGACAACTTTGTTTCGTTGGTTGCAAAATGTGTATGGCAGATAAGAGATAAAGATAGAAGAGGTAAAGTATGGAACGAACAAATAAAACCAGCAACTTTTGAGTTAAAGAAAACCATTGACGCCTTAGTTGTACTTGCAGGTCAAATTTCAATGTACAATGCTAAAATGAACCCACAATGTTCTAAATGTAAAGCAGCAATGAGGAAATATAACTACTCCGTCAAAGAGATAGAACGTATGCGAAACGACTATGCAGATTTAAAGAAAGAAGCAGAGAAACCAGCAGAAGATAAAATGGACATGTTGACATTTCTGAACAAAAACTATCCAACAGCTGACGATTTCCTTCTATCTGACGTCAAGAAGAAATATAAAGAAACCTTCGGCATAGTTAAAACATTCGATGTACTGACAGAAGAAATAGAAGCTACGAAATTGTTTAGAGTCATGAACCATCGCAACATATACCATGTAAAACGCTTGTAAATAGTTATGTTAGAAAACATGTTAGAAAACATGTTAGATCTAACATTCTAACATAAACATTATTTTTACTGAATTCCGTATGAAATTTCATGAGTTTTGTGTGTTTTAGACCATGTTAGAAAACGTGTTAGAAAACATGTTAGATCTAACATTCTAACATAAACATTATTTTTACTGAATTCCGTATGAAATTTCATGAGTTTTGTGTGTTTTAGACCATGTTAGAAAACGTGTTAGAAAACATGTTAGATCTAACATTCTAACATAAACATTATTTTTACTGAATTCCGTATGAAATTTCATGAGTTTTGTGTGTTTTAGACCATGTTAGAAAACGTGTTAGAAAACATGTTAGATCTAACATTCTAACATAAACATTATTTTTACTGAATTCCGTATGAAATTTCATTATATAACTGTTATTTTTTTACGAAGAGAACTTTTGCACTTCGTCAAAAAAATCCCTGAAATCATATCTTTTATACAAGATAGAAAATCTTACTCGCCAAAACTCTATGAAAAACAGTGAAGAACAGCGAGACCGTTTTTTTTTTCTGGGTCGCCAAAAAACTCTATGAAATTTCATGAATTTCCTTAAGATAGAAAAAATAAAGTTAGTTTTTTATAAAATATTTTTTTTATTTTGTATGTAAGAACAGGAAATGACAAACACTGAGTTTGAAACAGTTAAAAAGATAGACAATAACACTAAATTGGTTAGAATAGGTGATTTAAACGTAAGATACTCAAAGAAATACAACAAATATTCTTTGTCAGACATTATATCTCCATCTGGAAAGAAAACAAACGACTGGGTTAGAAATGCTTCAACTCAGAAAATTTTGACAAGAAATCCTGAGCTTATGATATCGGTAAGATTCTATGGAACTACAGCATATCTTATAGACAAAAGTCTTATACCAATAGTTTTGTTATGGTTAGACCCAGTTGTTGGATATAACTTCATAACATATGGTTCGTTCGACTCAGAACGTTGCAGTGAAGGCTTACTTTACATCGTTCAGAAACCGAAGGACTTCAATACAAAGAGATATAAGATAGGAAGAACATATAATATAACTAAAAGATATGACAGTATAGTCAATAGAGTTAAGGTTGTGTTCGTTAACGATATGAGAGCTGCTGAAACAGAACTACTTGAAAAGTTTGAGAAAATGTATGGTGCTCCCATAAAAGGTAAAGAAACGTTTGAAGTAGATGAGATAGCTAAAGCTATAAAATTATTTGACGAAGTTGCTGAAAAATACATGTAAAGCGTTTATTTTTGGTCTTTTGTGAAAGTCAGAAAAAATAAAGTTAGTTTTTTATAAAATATTTTTTTTATTTTGTATGTAAGGACAGATATGTCAACAACAGAGAACACAACAACAGTTATAGTCCATGAAGCCATAAATGAAGAATACGAGTACATACAGTATAACAAACAACTCCGTCTCATTCGTTCGGTCAAAGATGACATGTACCAAATGCAAAGTATTTTGAATGCTCTTCGTTCTACAAAGCAAGCACGTCATTGGTTTGAAAACCAACAGACAAAAGAACTTTTAGAAGAATTTCCTCATATGTTTGCGACCGGTAGAAAACCGCGGGTCGAGATTCCGTACGAAAATCGTCAAAATTTGCCAAATGGTTTGAGAGGTTGGTATGTACATAGACTTCTTGTAAATGCTGTTGCAATGTGGGCTTCACCTCGTTACGCTTGTTATATTTTCATGATGTTAGATGAACTTCATAGACAAGAACGTGAAGAGCTAGAGAACAAGCTTGAAGCAAAAGACAAAAACATACAGAAAAGAATACCACGTTCGGTACCAAAAGGTAAGGAAAAGAACTATAAGTATATGATTTACACTGAAGAGATGGAAAATGAAGAAGACAGAGATATGGTTATGTTGCATTTAGTCAGAAGAAACAACAAAAGCTTTTACGACCTTGCTAAGATTTACAAATCTGACAGAAATTGGTTCTATCGCGAAAACTTACCGATTTCAATGACACCAAATGAAGATGTTAAACAGATAGTTCAAGATACGTTACCTCAAACACACTATGATATTAAAGGTTGTACAATACTTACCTTCAAAGAAGATTTGCCGCTACTGAAGGAAAAGATAACAGAGTATTTTGACAACTTCAAAGAAGAAGAGTAAATGAACCATTTATTTTTCAAGCTTGACTTCAGATGGCTCAGGTAGCTGTATAAGGTAAATTGCCTTGTCAAATCCTTCTGGCATTCCGAGTCCTTCCTTCCGACAGGAAAAAAATTTCCTTCTGGCATTCCAAGTTCTTCCTTCCGACAGGAAAAAATTTTCCTTCCAACAGGAAAAATTTTTCCAGTTGTCCGTCCGTAAACCATTCAAATTTTCGAAAATTGAGAACTTTTTGGTCGAACTTCAGGAAAAATTTTTCTTTCCGACAGGAAAAATTTTTCTTTCCGACAGGAAAAGTCCTTCCTTCCGACAGGAAAAGTCCTTCCAACAGGAAAAGTCCTTCCATCCGACAGGAAAAGTCCTTCCTTCCGACAGGACACAAACGAATGTCCGACGTACCACCAACCGAGTCCATTCCAAAGCCAGAAGAACCGACAGCCCCAGCACCACAACAGACTAAGACTCAAACACTTACATTTTTACGCTTGACTTTTTACAATTTGAACTTTGTTTGCGTAGATATGAATTCTGAAAGAAGTATGAGGGTCTTGTATGACTTTGTACTTCTCCCATAGTTCATGTCTGTCAAACTTACCTGCCATGGACTCTTTCATAAGTTCCATGAAATCGTCTTCGGACAATCCGGGGAAAAGTATAATGTCAGTAAGTATTCTTTTAACATCCTTACTTAAACTCTTTGCTGTCTGTACACAAATGACAACTGAGATGTTAAAGTGTCTGAGCTTCTTAAGAATTCGACACATATCTTGTTCTCTGTTCTTTAACAAAGGATGAGAAGCAAAGTCATCTAAGATAAGAAGACATCTATGAGGGTACGTTTTCCAATCGTAAGATTGCAATTTCTTCGAAATGTATTCTATCTCTTTCTGTTTGTTTCTGAAGTGTTTCTTCTCTAATATTCTCTGCATTTCCTCATTTGGGTCTTTAAACTTAGAATTTATATACTCATTTATAGCATTGTACTTCAAAACTCTTCTTTGGTACTTCTTTATCCAATCTAACAACTCAGTATCTTTTATACATACTAACTTAGACTTCTTTATAATATCTTTGAACGAATTGACGGTCTGGTCAAATTGACCAGAAGTACTACAAATAACAACTAACTCATAGAATGGGTTCTTCTCATCTAGTTCTTGTTGTTGTGCAGCCATTTTAAGATAAGTGAAAGTCTTACCCGACCCAGGTGGTGCGATTAGACCTGTTATACCATTCTGAGCAAATAAGAACTTGTCATGTATGGGTTTTATCTGAGCATTTTCCAACTTCCTCTTGTTCTTGTTTAAAACATTCTCAAATTTCTTGTCAATGTCAGCAAACTTTTTTTTCTAACATATTTTTAGAAAAATTAAAATTTTTATCTTTTTGAAAATGTCTAGCGATTTCGCTATCTATATTCGAGACAAGCTTTTCGACTCTAAAACATCTGTCGACCATAAAATCTTACATAGTGTAAACAAGAAAGGTGAATTTGTTCTAAAGTTCTGTTTCTGGGAATATGACAAGAACCATAAAACATTAAGCAGAGAAGTCTTTAAGTTTGTCAATGACAGACTTGTTGACAGAGATGACGCCGATTGGAGAGATGAAGTCCAACAAAAGTTCTTAGAATGCAAAGAAGGCACATGCGCTGTTCTTGAAGATGAAATAGAAAACAGAATAGAAGAGCTATTAAAGGACAAAGAACTTTTACATAAATATGGTTCTGAGAAATTTGACATAACTCCACCAGAAAAGAAGAAGAAGAGAGAAAAGAAAGAAAAGAAAGAAAAGAAAGTAGAAGAGAAGAAAGAACCTGAACCAGTTCCAGAGAAAAAGAAATTTGACATGTAAAAATAAAATTTTATTTTTAGAACATTTCTGGGTCAATGTCAATGTTCTCTTCCTCTTTAGGAGCAAACACTGGCTTAGACTCTAAAATCTTTTTACCCAATTTACCTTGAACTTCAACTATCTTAGACTCATAATATTCATAGTCGTCTGCTTTCTTTGGTTCATAAGGTATAACAAGTTTGTATGCTTTGCCTTCTTCGAGTTTTGAGAACTTTCTGTCAAAATTTTTCTTTGACTGCTAACAACCTTCTATGTCTAAGTCTTCAAAAGTTGCACCACTTTTTCTAACAACAGCAAACTTAACTGGTGCAATGTTCCAAATTTTGTCAAATGTAGACTTTTCAAAATTGTAGAAGTAAACATTCAAATATGCGAATGGAGCTAACTTATCTTTGACTTCTGTCATGTACTTGTTTACTGAGATGAATTTTGCCATCTTTTTCTAT